ATTTCTTTTGGCCCAATCCTCTAATTTGTCTAGGTCCCTCTGTATCCGATCCCTACACTCCAGCGTATCTACCACTCCTCCCAGCTTAATGTCATCTGCGAACTTGCTGAGGTGTAGCCGCGCCGTCCTCCAGATCATTAATGAAGATATGGAACAAAACCGGCCCCAGGCGCATAACCCCAAAGCGCCAGGCCGAGCGCATGGAGCTGGGCAGAAGATGCAGGCATCCCGCCAAGCCGAGCAGCTCCTTCCAACTGGGTTAGTGCCACGGGGCATAGGCGTCTGTCTGTGCCCTGGGCAGCCCTCAACTCTCGGGGGTCCCCCGTGTGCCCCCCAACGCCGCACGCCCACGTGCATGGAGACACATGCACATGCTGTCGTTGGCAAAGCCCCCATGGTGTCTCCCATGCCAGGGGGGAGCATGTGGGCATTGGGGGATCACGGCTCCCGACCCACGGACAGCCACCCCCTCCCCACTGCTATAAACGTTTCCCGTTGGGACCCTGCAGGGGGCGCTGCAGATCCAGGCCTGAATTCGGGGGGGGGGCGGCATGGGCGTACCCCAGAGGCAGGTCCCTACGTGTCCCACTCCCCTCCGTCCCCATGGCCCCTTTGTGGATGGGGCCAGTCAGGACGCTGAGACCCCCCCAGCTCGAGCCGCGTCACACAGGACCCCGGGGCGGGTGGGTCCTTACGTGCTGGAGGCGGCCGCGTCGTCGTCAGAGTGGGTGGCCTCGTCCTCCGACTGGTCGCTCAGGAGGTCGAAGGTGGGGCTGGGGATGGCGTCCACCACCTCCAGCACGGGGGCGATGCTGTGACGTTTCTCGGTGCCCATCGGGTCGGCCGGCAGGCCCAGCGTGGTCCCGTCCGCGCTGTCCGGGCTGCTGCCAGAGTCCGGCAGGTCCATGGCCACCGTCCCTGCACGGCCGGGGGGCGGGCGGGTCAGGGCACTCTTGGGGGGGGGAGGACCCTGAGCCCAGCCGTCCCGGCTGCCCCCACACACCTCCCCCGGCCCACAGGAGGGCATCTGGGGCAGCCAGGGGCCGATTCAGTGACACGCCCCCCGAGGGGGGGCAGGCTGAGCTCCAGCAAACTCATACCACATGGTGCCACCCAGCTGGGCTGGACTGGACCCCAGACGGGCCCTGCCCCATCAGCCACCTGGTGCCCTGCCCCCCTGGTTCGGAGAGGGGGCAGCTGGGCCGGTGCTGGGTGTGGATTGGCTGGGGATTGGTGGGCCCCATGCTGAGTGATGATTGGCTGGGGAGGGGTGAAGGGGCGGGTGGGAATTAATAAGGGAGGGTGGGGCCCAGTACTGGATGATGATTGGCTGGGGTAGTATGACAAGCCAGATGGAGTTTGGTGGGAGTTTGGCAGGCCCCATGCTCAATGATGATTGGTGGGGGACTCCGGGGCGGGGGGGAGGGGGTGTCCCATGCTGGGCAGTGATTGGCTGAGACCTGACGGGCCAGTGGGGGGGGTGGAGAAGGCTGGGGCTTGGTGCTGAGTTCTGATTGGCTGAGGCAGGGTGAAGGGCCAGCAGGGGATTGGTGGAGAATTGGTGGGCTCCGTGCCGGATGGCGATTGGCTGGAGAGGTGTGAGGGGCCGGCTGGGGACCGGGAGCCCCGTGCGGATTGGCTGGGGCGGGGTGATGGGCGGGGAGGCCGGGGGCTCACCCATGCTGGCGATGATGCTGTGCACGGGCAGCCGCGTCAGGCCGTGGTAAGCCGGGGGGGCCCGGCGGCTCTGGTGCAGATGCTCCTGCTGGCGGAAGATGAAGGCCGAGTTCTCCTCCTTGGAGATGTTGATGTAGAAGCAGGTGTCGGAGGAGGCCAGGATGTGGCAGGGCCCTGGGTTCAGCAGGATGTTGTTCTTGTCCTCCCGGCACACGCCGATCAGGCACACCCCGTACCTGCCGGGCAGCCAGGGTCAGCGCCTGGGACCCCCGGGAGGGGGCGCAGCCCTGGGGAGCTGGGGGAGGGAGGCGTGTGTGCAAGCCAGCTCGGAGTGCGTGGGGGTGCAATACGCGTGTGGGCCTGGCTGGGGGTACATGTGCTCCTGAGCAGAGAAGCATGTGCAAGCTGGATCATGCGCATGCACCGGGGTGTGTGTGGGTGAGGATGTCTGTGCATGTGCAAGGGCATGTAAGTGTGTGTCTGCAGGCGTGGCATGAGTGTGCATGTGTGTAAGCGCGTGCAAGGAGATAGAAGAGTGTCCCAATGTGTGTGAGCATGTGCACAACTGTGCACGTGTGTGTGCATGTGCAAGGGTGTGCACCGATGTGTTTAAGTGTATGCATACGTGTGTGAGCATGCGCATGTGCGTGCATGTGCAAGGGTGTGCACCAATGTGTTTAAGTGTGTGCATACGTGTGTGAGCATGTGCACAACCATGCGCATGTGCGTGCATGTGCAAGGGTGTGCATCAATGTGTGTAAGCATGCACACCAGGATATAAGCATGCCCATGCACGTGCAAGCAGATGGAAGGGTGTGCATCAATGTGTGTAAGCGTGTGCATAAGTGTATGAGCACGTGTGTGAGCGTGGGCACAAGCATACACGTGTGCGTCCATGTGCAAGGGTATGCCAGTGTGCCAGCACACGGAGGTGCACACATGGCGTGTGGAGCCGCCCTCCCCCGGCCCCGCTTACCTCTTGTGGGCGTGGAAGGATGCGTAGGTGAAGCTTTTGCCCTGGTATTGGCCCAGGAACTTGCTGTCCTCCAGCCGGACGTGGTAGACCTCGTTAGCCGAGCAGCGGCTGTACATCCTCTGCCATTGCTCCGGCGAGGCGGGGCCGTCTCTGAGGGGGGAGAGACGCCCCCCACGTGCATCACAGCCCTGGGGTCATGGGGGGGGGGCTCTCCTGACCCCCGCCCAGAAGGGAGGGGAGCCCTGGCCTGTGGACTCACCCCTGGCGAGAGGACTCCAGGCCAGTGTCGCTGGTGCCTGGGTCACGGCAGAGAAAGTCCACGGGGCTCCAGCCATGCACAGAACGCAGGGGGGGGGGTCTCTCCCAGAGCTGGGCAGGGTTGGGGCCCCTCCCTCTGCTGCTCGCCCAGCTCTGGATGCGGGGGCTCCAACCGCAGGGTCGGCCCCAGGACAAGGGGCCCCAGCGTCTCCTCCTGGCCCGTGACCCGGGGCAAGCGCGTACCCTCCCCCTGCAGCCCGTCACCCACCCAGGCCCAGCCCGGACTCACCTGGACAGGGGCTGCCAGGCGCTCGGCCGCGGCTTGAAGGGCTCCATGGGGGCAGTTCTGTCCAAAGGCACCAAGGGGCAAATGAGAACCAACCCCATCCCCCACCCTGGCAATCGGCTCAGGCTCTCTGCACACTCAGGCAGTTGCTGCTCGGGCGAGGCTCCCCCACCCTGCTGCTGACTCCTGCCTCCTGCCTCCCCCCGTGCCCCCGATGCTGTTTCCTCCCCCGCCCTGGCACTGGCTTCTGTCCCCCTTCTTTCTCAGTGCTGCTGGGGGGGCACAAGAGAGCTCCGGGGCAGGAGGAAGTGCCATGGGGCTCCCTGGTCCCACTCCCCCTTGACTGCCTTCCCTCCCAGAGGAGTTTGAGTACTGACCCCAGGTGGGGGGACAGACCTGCTGCTGGGGTGTGATTGGCCGGACCCCCAGAGCAGTGGGGCTGAGAGTCAACACCCCACTGGGATGGGCTGAGTGGGATCCCCAGCCCCGAAAGCGATTGGCTCAGGCTCTGTGCAGACTCAGGCAGTGCGGCTGGATCTAGTCTGGCCCCAGCTGGGGGCAGTCAGCCGGCGACGGGCACAGCTACTCACTGTCCCCGCGAGGTGTGGATCAGCAGTGTGATGAGGGTGGACGTGGCTGGACACACACAGTTCAGAGCCAACATGGCGTACTTGAATTCTTCTTCGCAGACCACGTGATCTGGAGAGAGACGCACGTGGGCTGGGAGCCAGGGCCAGGGCTGTCCCGGAGGAGCTGGGCCCGCTCCCCCAGCCGCTTGCTTCCTTCATCCGTCTCTTCCTTCTTCCCTCCCTCCACCTATCATCCTGCCTCTACTAGCTCTGCCAGCTATCCGTCCACCAGCCACCCGACCACCTTCCCTCCTTCTATAGCTATCCCTCCATCCCCGTCCGCTCCTCTGTCTGATCCATCCTTCCATCCCCGTCCTCTCCTCTGTCTGCTCTATTCATCTACCCTCCGTCTGACCCATCCCTCCATCCCCGTCCTCTCCTCTGTCTGCTCTATTCATCTACCCTCCGTCTGACCCATCCCTCCATCCCCGTCCTCTCCTCCGTCTGCTCTATTCATCTACCCTCCGTCTGACCCATCCCTCCATCCCCGTCCTCTCCTCTGTCTGCTCTAT